GTTCTTCTGATCCCTTCCCCAGTAAATGTTACCCTGCATGCACCACACGAATATTTTGGAACATGAGAAATCTCTAAGGCATGCTAGCATTCCTGGACCCCTGTGCCCATGACATGAAATGAGGAAACAGTGGGCATTATCAGCTTCTTGCTTTTCTCAGGAGATAAAATGTTAGACCTGGTTGCTCATGTGTCCTACATAGGCTTCGCCATGTTATCACTTCTAATGTTTGACGGCTTACATGATCTTGCACCGCACATCTAAAACCAACCTGCAAGTGCTCTTGGCCTTTGACCTCTTGAATTCAGTCCACACAGCTGTCATAAGATAAGTAGACACAGTTTGACACTGGAATGTTGTTCTTCCCATAAACATTATTCCGTTCTCGCCAGCCACATTTGATAAGATTTGTTCTTGAGCTCCTCCTACTGCTGCAGGGCTAGATGTTTCTTTTTTTAAATCAGGAAGAGGAAGTGGAGGAGCAATCCCCCCACACACACACACTGTTTTTTAGAATAGGTCCTGCCCAGTAGCAACAGCAGATATTTTGCAGGTTGCAAACCTATTATTAGAGTTCTGTCAGTACAACAATCACCATGGAGCTTTTCCCCCTGTACCATCCCTGCTTCATGTAACTAGGGGCACTGATGGGAAAACAAATCCACAGTGAGGACTTCATCAAAGAACCTAAGTAAGACTCTTCACCTTAGGAAAATTGCATAACTGACCACTGGCCCTGCTACCTTCATGAACGGCCCGACATTGCATGTGAGAAACTCGCTGAAGGACAGGAGGCTGAGGAGGCAGGAGTATGGTCCTCATGCGTTTTGTGGTTGATACCTCCCCTAGAGTGGCTTTGGAGGCAGCTCAGCAAGAGGCAGCATGGCGAACTCTTTAATAAAAGTAACAAAAAGTGCAAAAGCGACAAGCAAAAGCAGCTCAAGTGCCTCAACAGAGCTTTGGTTACCACGATACCCGCTCCTACTCTTTGAAGATTAAAGGGGGAAGCAGACCCCGCAGTTGGCGGGGTGGATCCTGATCCTTCCCCAGCTTTGAACCCCACACGTTCCCAGGGCTCCCATCCTGTGTCGTCTTCCAGGAGCAAGGGCCAAGCTGGTCAGAGAGTGTCAAAGCAAGCCCTTTGCTGAGGGTAGCAATGAAAGAACAGCCACCATAGAGACCCCCGCCCCTTGCTTATTCTGAGGCTTTACTGGCAGAGAATAGCGAAGACTTGAAACAACTACGGATGAAGGTTAATGAAGGAAGTGCCAACGCAGGATTATCGATGAGCATCGAGAAGACAAACGTAATGCCTACTGTTGTGCATTTTTGGAGTTCCAGATGCAAATACTGATGATAGTCTACTAGCATGTTGTTGCATTCAGGGCTGTAACCAGGGTGGAGCTATTGAATCCATAACCCCACCTGGAACATTGATTTTTCTGCCTTAAGACATCCCCCCAAAGTCTTTTAATTTGTGTGCATTTAAGGGATTAGAATTTGTTTTTTGAATAGAAAAAAAAAACTGATAAAATCTCCCAGTTGAAAGCATGGCTTAGACAGGGTGACATGAATGAGCTACTACTTTTTTAAATCAGGAAGAGGAAATGGAGGAGCAATTCCCCCCACCCCCCGCCTGTCCAAATTAGCTGGGACTGAATCTGGCTGCCCCTTGAAACATTGTGGTCCAAGGAGTGAGGAAGGCTGGCTGTGGCCACGGGTTATGGCTCAATGGTGGAGCAGCTGCTTGCAGATTTAGTACATGTACAGTTTGCAAGCAGAAGTCATTCCTAGCTGTAGCTAAAAAATAAATTTGTTTTATTATTTAATTAGGAATAAAGCTCGTTGAGGAAATACATACAACGAACTCTAGAAAGAGGCTCTGGGAGAGTGCCAAGGCCTTGGGCACTCAGAGTCAATGTGCTGTGGTGACCTCAGCAGGGTATAATGACACAGAGTCCACCATTTTCTCCAGAGGAACTGATTGGCAACAATTGTTACCCAGGAAGAAATGACTGGTTTGGAGGGTGGAGTCTATGGCATTGTACCTGTCTGAGATCCTGGCCTGTAGCTACCAAGGGGCTCACAGGGCCTGCCTGACTTCTGCAGTTTTTAAGGGCCCCTCCCCCGATTCTCAGCTCCCCCTCCCTCCCCCGAGCAGCTTGGAGCATGAGTAAGCACATTCCGGCTGTTTGTGCTACGACCCATCCACGTCTGCTTTTCCTAGCACTGCAGCCGCGGAACGACCCCACTTCCAGGAGGCGCCGTCTGCTTTGGCTGAGTCCAGGCAGAAATTGCCGCCCCCTCTTCCCTCCCTGAGCCTCCCCCTGGTGCATAAGTCACGGGTGACCCAACAATCAAAATGGGCTCTTCCCTTCAAATCCTCCCACCTTTCAGGGAATCGAGCACTCAGTCCGAGGTGTCTACACAGCAGTATTCTCTCCTATGGGGAGAGAGACTGTCTCGTTTATAGAAAGTAGTTCCGCAGTAGTTTAGTCAAACGATTGGAACTGTCTCCCCATTACCCAGATTTACAGCTGACCTGGATGCACAGAACCAACAGAGGTAAGAGGAAAGGCCATTGGAAAAAAATGGGAGCCATGAATGCCAATTGACTTGCATGGGCTCCATTGAAATACATTACAGTACAAGTAGAGTTGCAATAAAAATGCAGAATGGATATTCCATTAGGGTCTCTGGGCCCAAATAGACTACTGTGGGACTGGAATGACAGGTCCCAGAGTGGAATGACAGCCCCTGGGGGTAGTAGGAGTGTTCTGAAACTGGAATGACAGACCCCAGAATGGAATGACAGCCCCTGGATGTAGTAGGAGTGGTCTGGGAATCGAGCACTCAGCACTGGGAATCTGGGACCACTCCTACTGCATCCAGGGGCTGTCATTTTACTCTGGGGCCTAGCATTCCAGTCCCAAAACATTTCTGCCACCCCCTGGGGCTGTCATTCCACCCTGGGGCCTCTCATCCCAGTCCCAGAAGACTTCTGTTACTCCTAGGGTCTGTCATTCCAGGCCAAAAAAAAAAAACTGCAAGATGATTTCTGGTCAGGGAAATGGTGTGGAAGGAGGGCCGCAGTTCTGATTCATCCACACATGCCTAGGATTAAGTTCCCAGCACAGAACTCATAATGTAGATTTGATCATGAGGACCTGGAAAAATGTAACATGTAGTTACACCTTCAGTATGTGTAGATGGTGCAACATTCTGGACCAGTTGAAGTTGCTGAACACTTTTCAAGGACAACCTCACCTAGAGCGCATGGCAGTAATCTGCTCTAAATGTAACCCAGGGCGTGCATCATGCCGCCTGCTAAAGGCACTTCTGGCCACAGTTGCCACCTGCTTATCCAGCAGTAGGCCAGGGTCCAAGAGTGCCCCCAAACTAAAGAACTGTTCCTCCAAGGGAAATAGAGCCCCATTCAGGACAAATGACACCTTAAATCCTGGGTCAGACCTTCTGCTTTTTTTTTTGGAATTAAGTTTCTTTTTCTCTGAGTTTTGTAAATGGATGGGGGCATAGGCGTAATCTTCGTGGGGGCGGCGGGGCTTCAGCCTCCGCCGAAATTTTCAGGAAGGTGCTCAGCCTCCCCCGGGAGCCACCCTTGCTCCTAGCAAAGCAATGCCTCTGGCCCAGCCCCAGCCCCCC